TGGGTCGGCTACATGGATTGCAAAGACGCCATTGTGCTCTATCATTTATTAAGCTTTTAGAAATATTATTAATTAAGAGATCACGTTCAACAACTTCCAAGAGTGTTCTCTTAGGCCTTCCTCTACCTCTCTTAATCGGACTCAAAGTTATATGTTCCACTCTTCTCACTGGGCCTCCCTTGGTCTTCTTTGTACATGCCCAAACCATCTCAACCGATTTTCTACCATTTTTTCCTCAATAGGTGCCACCCTCACTTTTTCGCGTATGTGCTCATTTCGAATTTTATCTTTACGTGTATGTCCGCACATCCATCGTAACATTCTCATCTCTGCTACTCCAACTTTATGCTCTTGCTGTCCCGTTAGAGCCCAGCATTCACTACTATATAACATTGCCGGTCTGATAGCAGTACGATAAAACTTTCCTTTAAGTTTATTAGGCACCTTACGGTCACAAATAACTCCTTTAGCTTTTCTCCAATTAAACCACCCAGCTTGAATTCTATGTGAAATATCTCCACTGATTTCGCCATCATTTTGAATAATGGCTCCCAAATATCTAAACTTTTCCACTTGAGGTATAATTTGATCTCCCAATTTCACTTCCAAATTATTTTCGAATAGTCCTTTACCAAATTTACAATATAAATATTCCGTCTTACTTCTACTCAGACGAAAAACCTTTCGACTCCAATGTCCTCCTCCATAACTCAAGTTTGCAATTAACCTCTTCTCTTGTCTCTGCTATAAGAACTATATCATCCGCGAAGAGCATACATTTCGGGATTTCCTCTTGAATATGTTCCGTCAAAACATTTAAAATCAAGTTGAACAAATAAGGACTCAGAGATGATCCCTGATGTAGTCCAATCTTTATAGGAAAATCCTTTGTTTGACCACTAGGCGTTCTTATACTAGTTTTTACCCCCTCATACATATCTTGTATGGCTTTAATATAAGCAATCCGTACTCCCTTTTTTCCAACGCTTTCCAAAGCACTTCTCTTGGTATACGGTCATAAGTTTTTCCAAATCAATAAAAACCATGTGTAGATCTTTATCTTTACAACGATACTTTTCCATTAATCCCCTTAGTAGATAAATCGCCTCTGTAGTTGATCTACCTGGCATAAAACCAAATTGATTCTCAGAAATACTTGTCTCCAATCTCAACCTGTGCTCAATTACTTTCTCCCACAATTTCATTGTGTGGCTCATGAGTTTAATCCTCTATAGTTAGTACAATTCTGAATATCTCCTTTATTTTTATAAATAGGAATTAATGTACTTCTCCTCCACTCATCAGGCATTTTCTTGGACCTTAAAATCACATTAAATAACTTAGTTAACCATCTCACCCCTTCTTCACCTAAACATTTCCACGCTTCGATAGATATACAATCAGGTCCGTTGGCTCTACCATTTGCCATTTTCTTAAGAGCTTCCTTTACCTCTTTATCACGTATTTTTCGATAGAATGACAAATTTTGTTCTCCTTCACCAGTTACTAAATCCTCCAAGTTACTAGATGACCCTCTCCATCGTCGAAAGTTTAGAAAAAATAAGTCTCCCATCTATTTTTAATTTCATCATCTGTAACTAAAATTCTTTCCCTTATCCTTAATACTAATAACGAAAAATGTTCGTTTTAGTATAAAAGCGGTGGCTTGATTTTTTAAATAACTAAAACCACCACCAATTCACCAATAGTTTCCTTTGCTCTTGCCGATACTAAAGCCATCAAGATTCAAAACTCTGGTCCGAGGGTTTTGGGATTTGGATGGGGTGAGCGTTTTACATCCATTCACTTTATGACTGTTTTATATGATACGATAACAACATTTTAATTTAATTGACAGTCAAAGATTTTGTTATATAATACTTAGAAAGTGTCAAATATTAGATTTTTGGAGGGAACCATATAAGTAAGAAATGTTTTGGCAGTGGGGATTATTTTGAATTTTTGGAGCGAATTATATCCTAATAATTTTTTAAATATTGATAAAATCTGACAATTATAATTGAGATACTCATTAAATAAGTATACTTGGGCTACTTACCGAATCAAATTGGGTTTTGACATTTCCTTTATCAAGTGATAGTTACCACACCTTTTTTGTTTTATAATTTTTAATTTTAAAGATGTCTTTAAAATTAAGAGGCACACGTTGTTGTTGACTTTTCCTTAAAAAAAAAAAAGCATATTTTTCATTTCAAGGACATGACTTTTCATTTTAAAATACGGTTAAGGTCTAAAATGTCTTCAACTAAACAAAAAGGGTCAATATTGCCCCTAAAGTCAAAAAATGGTCATTTATGTCCCTTAATTGTTAAGATTTTTGATTCCATCACCTCGTTGTTTAGTCCATCAAAATTTTCTATTAATGTAGTCCATATTTAAATTTTTAAATATTTTTGTGGGTATTACAATTTTTTCTATAGGGTTAAGGGTTTAAAAGCCCTTTTAACTAAGTAAAAGGGACTAAGGTTGTCCCTAAAATAAAAAATGAGTCATTTATATCCTTCAATTATTAAGATTTTTTAATTATGTCAAATTTCACTATTAATGGGGGCCACATTTAATTTTTTTAATATTTTTAGTTGGTCTCACAATTTTTTTATATTTTTAGTAGGTCTCCTCAAGCCACATCTTTGAGTGACTCTATGTTCAATCTTGTAAAAATTTAAACTTCACACCACAGCTTTCCAACGGCTCCAAGCTTAATTTTTCTAACATAATTCCCAACCTTGCCTTAAATTTTGCCATTGCTAAATGTTGCTAAAACTCCACCAACCATTACAAGAACAAACTTTCAATGCTCTCTTTACTTTGGCCATTCATGATGATAACAAGACTGTAATCAATATGCTGGGTGCTTTATCGCTGCTACTCCACTTGCTTAAATCCGTGAACGAGTGAACAAGAGAGGTAATGAAGGGGGGAGAGAGAGAGGAGAGGAGAGGGATTTTTTTTTAAAATTATAAAAAATATTAAAATGATATATCCCACTAAAATATTAAAAAATTCAAATGTGAGCCCACTAATGGTGAAAATTGACAGAATAAATGGTAAGAGATGATGGAATAAAAAAAACTTAATGATTGAGGAATATAAATAACCATTTCTTGATTTGAGGGGCAACTTTGACCCTTTTAACTTAGTTGAGGGGCATTTTTGACCCTTAACCTAAAAAAATATAAAGTGGATCCCACTATTATATTTTATTAATAAAAATATTTAAAAATTTATGGGGCCCCACTAATGGATAATTAACCCTAGGGGCATGAAAGAAGCA